TTGCTGGTAATACTACTTCAGTTAATTTTCTTGGCCCCTCAGGGTGATAATCTGTCAACCTTTCAGTAATTTCAAACTCAGAACTGCAAATTCTTTCCATCTCAGTCCACCATTAAGAGTAACTCAGATGCCATGTGGTGGCGCACAGGCTTGCCCTTGAGGAGGTAGACCTGATTCCAAGGGCTGTGTGGAAGAAGGTGCTCTGTCCCACCCTGGGCTTCTGCAGGTTCCTGGTGGTTTCCTTCCTCAGGCCTGACGCTGTACACACTGCACCCAGGACAGGAGATTCACAGCCCTGCAAGGATGCCCAAAAAACAAACTCCTGCTGAGGATTGTGAACCGGGCAGATTTTGCCAGCAACTTCCTGAGAATGGTAGTGGAGGGAACAGCAGCTCAGGTTCACAACTTTGACAAACACAGTGCAAATCTCAAAAGACCCCTAGTCTCTGACATTTCTTGCCCTGATCTCGCCGCTCTCCCTGGTTTCCTGCCTTCCTTCCCACTGCTGTCTCCTCTTCTTCTTTCTCTTTCCTCTCCTTTTAAGATCAAAAAGCACAATTTTCCCTGTGTCAAGCAGGGCAAACTCCTCCTCCTCTGATGCTTTATTCAAGGCATTCTTAGAACAAAGACAGCCTTCTTCCCAAGAGAAATTACGGTGAATAAAATTTCCTCCGCTTCATTACACATACAAGGGTTGGAATCTTTTTAAAGCTCTGTCAGTTATAAATTGCAAACAAGCAGCTGCAAAACTCAAGATGAGTCTATCCATGGACTGAGCTATTGCTCTTCAGAACCAGGTCACCAAATGGCTCAAGCTGCCCAGGATCTTTCTATCTCGGAAACTTCTAGCTTCCAGAGCTACCTTGCCATGCTGTCCAAAGTCTTCCTACTCTACAGACAAAAGGACCATCCACATTCCTCCAACCAGGCAGCCACTGCCCTAGGCTCTCTTCCAGGACACCAGCCACTGGCCCTGAGAGAGAAATTTTCCACAGACAAGAGCCAGGGTCTATTGACTGACTAGCTCTGTGGAGAACTTGGTCCACCCCAGGAACCACAGGTTAAAGAAGACAGACTGAGGTCAAAAACATCCCTTGCTGCCTTTAGTTTGACACTGATAGATAGAGACGACCTTGCCAAACAGCTTGCCAGAACTGGAGCTGGTGGAGGTTAGGTCCCTGCTTTGCTGGCCTGGAGAACCCATCCAGAGCTCTCCTGGAGCTTTAGGGCCTAGAAGATCTTTTGAGAGTAGAAACGTTTCAAAGGGCTGCCAGGTGCTCCTGGAAATAATCTCCAATTCAGATAACAAGGGGAAGCCCTGCAAATCTCTGGTTAGGGGAAGGGACACATGAAATAAATTTGAACAGTAGTCTGAAATTGCTGTTCTCTGGTTATTTCTGGTCTGTTAAATATTTAAGTTGTTTTGGCATTTCAATTAAGAGTAAGAAAAAAAAAAGCCTGCATTGTTTTTATTTACTGATAGAAGAAAAAGGACAAATATGTTTTAGTGATGAACAAGAATGTTGGGGTCTTACAAAATGCAAGGGTTGAAGAAGAAAATTGAATCAAGGAAGGGAAGAGTAAAATGAAATGGTCTGAGAGTGAGAGGAAGGGGGGGAATGGCAGAAGGGCGAGTGAGCCCCTGGAACAAGGAGCACGCAGCCCTGTAGTTGCTCATGCCTGTCCCAAAGTCCCTTTCTGCTCTTGGTGATCTGAGGAACGCTGAAATACTTGCTACTACAGTCTGGCTCTGGCTCATGTATTCAAGGCTTGGGCACCAGGCTGTGGCACACAGATGAACCTTTAAGAGGTGGGCCTAACTGAAGGAAGTTAGGTTACTGCAGGTAGACCCTGGAAGAAGGAGATATTAGAACCACAGCCCTTCCCTGCCTGTCTTTCTCACTTCCCACCCACCAGGAGGTGAGCCGCTTCCCCTTGCCCCATGTTCTCCTCCGTGTCACAGGGTAAAAGGCAACAGGGCCAGGCAAGCACAGACTGAAACCTCCAAAACCTCCATGAGCAAAAATAAACCTCTTCTTCCCATAAGTTGATTCTCTCAGGGTGTGTGTATATGTTTTTTTTTTTTTTTTGTCTTTTTGAGACAAGGTTTCACTATGCAGTTCAGACTGGCCTTGAACTTACTTTGTAGCCCAGGCTGGTCTTGAACTCACAACAAATCTCCTGCCTCAGCTTCCCAAGTGCTGGGATTACAGTTGTGCACTAGCACACCTGGTTCTGTCAGGTATTTTCTTATGGTGAAGAGAAGCTGATTAATATACCTCCCCACTCTCAGTCCTCCGCTACCACTTTCAATGGGCCTCAAAGTTCACTACAAGCAGCTCCATCTACTGAAGTATGAATACAGTTAGCATTTGTAGTGACATTTGAAACTGTGATTGTACCTAGTTTTATGAAGTTCTAGAACTTTTTAGCATGAAACGTTACCTAACCTGAGAAGGTAGAGTTCTTCCAAATTCTTATGTAACTGCATTTAGTAGAATCCAAATAAAGCCTAGTAGTACACATTTTAAAAGACAGCAGCTCAGAGGGACAAGTAAGACGAGCGAGTAAAAAGCTTGAGCCTTTTGACCTTGCTGAAATACAAGAGGAAATCACATAATAGGGTCACTTCCACACTCCATATCACTGGGCTGCTGCTACCCAGGCACACTGGAAATGGTTGTAGGCCCAGATGGCCAGCAATCCTTGTACTTCCTCATGGCTTTTTTCCTCTCAGAGTCGGCCAACACCAGGGTTGTAGAAAGCTAATGCTCAGCCAGATAACTGTGGTGAAGTGCTGTCCAATCTGATCCAGAAGCTGCCTGGGAAGCTCAGTGACTTTCCTCAGGGTATGCAGTCCAGGACAGCGCTCAGGCTTCTGGCTAGCTGAGTGATCCTGGGCAAGTCTTTAAACTCAGGTTACCTGAACAGAACAGAAGTGCTAAATGGCTAAGAGTTAGCTAGGATCTGGAGACAAGACAACCTGGGCCCATAGACTGGGTCCTGCACTGATCAACACCATGTATCTGAGATTTAACTTCTCTTTCTTCATCAGTAAAACAGAATATATGACATCACCTCTTAGCTTGGTTGCTAATGAACTCATACATCTAAAATTTACCAGCAAGAAAGGATGTCTACTACTATCAAATTAGATAAGCTTACTCTGATTTGACCATTACACAATGTATACATGCATCAACACATCATGTGGTACGTCATAAATATATATAATTTTTATGTGTCAATTTGAAAAATGCTTACAATTTGCCTTGATCAGTGTTTGGTAAATATTTGATATTTCATGTTTGTTTAGCAAATATTTTATAATTTTATATGCACATGCATTCCTATACATATCTGTAAACACATAAAAAAAACCTTTAAAGATCTACTTCTTAGGATGCCAAAACACTTTTTTTTAAAAATTGACAATACCAAGTATTAGTGAGGAGGTAGAGCAACTGGAATTCTCACACACCGCTGATGAGAATGCAAAATGGACAGCCGCTTTGAATGGCAGTTTCTAATAAGGTTAAATACATATTTACTACACTTCTTACATGAGCTAGCGATCCCAATTCTAGTTATTCACTCAAGAAAAATGAAAGCAAACAGTCACACAAAGAAGCAGTTTTATTCATAAAGTTGAAAGTAAGAAAGCGCCAAGTAATATCAACAAGTGAGTGGACAGATTTTAGAACACCCTAACAATAGGTCACTATTCAGCAAGAAGAATGAACTCCTGACACATGCAGTAATATACATATGTTTCAAAAGCATATGTTAAGGGAAAGAAGCCAGACAAACATAAAGAATTCTATTAATATATGACATTCTGGGATAAGCAAAACAATAGAAACAGAAAACAGATTAGTGGCTGGCTGCCAGGAGAGGGGGAAGGAAGGGAGAAATGATATAAAGGAGCATGAGGGGGCATGCTAGGGTCATGGAAATGTTTTACACTTGATTATGGTGATAGGTACATGATTGAACACAATTGTCAAAATTTATAGAACTGCATACCTGAAGAAGGTAAATTAATCAACAATTATGATTACCTAGGAGAGGAAGGAATTGAGTAGAGAAAATGACTGAGGGATACCTTTTTGTTCTACTTAAACACATCTGTACTCTTCACACTTTTTTTTCAGCATTGGGGATCAAACCAAGGTCTCATTCATGCCTGGCAAAGTTCTCTACCACTGAGCTACACCCCCCATCCTGTCTGAACTTCTGTAGTGAGCACATAATTTATGTGGTATTTTCACTAAAATCTTAAATAATAATACAACAACAATAACAATGTTATCTATCTTAAATTTTTTTATTTTATTTTATTTTTATAATTTTTTTATTTTAAAGAAAATAGAAAAATAATTGATAAGACGTTAAAAACAATACACAATTTATAGGAAAAATGGGGTATACCGATGAATGTCCATTTTGTATCTGTGTATTCAAAGTGGTTAGGATAGATATATAGTTGCATTCTCTTAGTGAATAGAATGATTTGTTCTAATGCTGTTTGTAAATAGGATCACAAGTCCACTTCTTGTACAGCAATTAACCACTAAGAAGAATATATGCAGTGTATTATTTGTTGAAACTGTACTTCTGATTTGATTTGAAACTGTCTCATTGCTATCTGTTTATCAATAAAACTTTGAAAAAAAATACACAATTTAAAAAAACAATGATAGGTATTCAACAGTGGTTGTTATATTGTACATAAAGTGATGTTAGATTCAAATGAAAATATGAGAAATCATAAAACACTATATGAACTCTTTCTAGATGGAAGGATAGATAGATCAATAGATAGGTAGGTAGATAGGTAGATAGATAGATAGATAGATAGTCAGACAAATCACCTTCCTCTCACCACTCAATTCCCATATCCTCTTCACTCCTGGACCCCTACCCTTCAGGCAATTCCCACATTCCAAAGTGACTGAGCAGCCAAGAGACCTCTACTGAGAGTGACAGCCAAGACCTACCTCAGTGACAAAGAGTGTTCGAGGGTCGATGATATCCAGGAAGTGCCTGAAGCGCCCATAAAAGGATGTCTGGAAAAAGAGGTAGGAAAAGGGGAGATCAGCCATTGTACACTGTCCTCCGGACACTGGGCCCCCCCCCCCCATCAACCTTATGGGAAGACCCCAGTCCCCAGGACACCCGGATGACGGATGGGTGCCAGTTAGGCCTCATTGCTCAGGGACCTAGGAACAGCTTTCCCAGGGCTGAGCACTTCCTAAAGCCAAATGAAAGAGACCACTAAGATACTCAGTATGTGTCCTTATGTCTCTCTCAGGTGCTTCTCACTTTTCTCCTTCTCTTCCTTTGTCCTGAGACCTCTGAGCTCTTCAGAAGCCCCCACACATCACTGGGCAGGCAGGCACAGATTCCTGAGGGGTCTGGGGCACAGGACGAAAGGTCACCCCCCACCTCCCTTGCCCCAGAGCAGGGTCCCTGGAAAAGGAGGGCTTTGTGCTAAGCGGGCCATAGGCATTGGAGCACAATGAAAAGAAACCAAGCAACGCTGCTGCTGGGCCTTCTGCCAGGGGACAAAGCCAACTGGGCAAAGCCAGGCTCAAGGCGAAGAGAGTGCCAGCCTTGGGGGTGAAGGGGGAGGCTGCAAACGGTGAAGGGCTCTTGCCTCACTACACTCCGGGCTCTGCCCCAAATTCCTCCCAGAGCCCCATAGCTCTCCAAGCACCATCCTCTGCACAGTGGAGAAAATAGAAGCCTCCAATCACCCTCCCCTTGCTTAATGGGGCAGCAGACCCTGCAGTCAAGTTCTGTCCTTGCCCTCCCCACTAAAGAACCAGCAATAGGCCGGGGTTACCTCAGAGTCCCCCCCCCCCAACGCCTCTTCCACTTCTTTTTCTATCACTCTGGGAGGGCTGCCTAGCCCCTACTTCTGCTTTCCTCCAAGGGGACAGCTACAGATAAAGCCTCAAGACCATTCTTAACTAAAACAATTGCTTTTTCAACCTCATATTGCTCAAATGGGCTGAATTTCAGGACCTAAGCCATCCACTACATGATTAAGTCATATACATACATGATACATTCCTGTCTTGGCAAATTTTCATCTCTAAGAATTTAGTCAAAGGAAACAATCAGAATATTCAGAGATGTAGTCAGAGGCATATTTTGGGAAGTTCACTGCTTTACTCTTTACAAAAGTGCATAGTTAAATGGTGGTCCATTCATGTTTTTTGAATACGATATAGTCATTTAAAATCACATTTTTTTCAGACAATAGTTATGACATGGAAAAAGGCTTACTTTTATAAAGTGCACATAATATAATTCCAACTTAATAAGCAAAGAGATAAATAATGAATACTAAGTGAAGAGCAAAAAGACTACATGACATCCAGATCCTGGACCACTCAGTCCCAAGGTCCTCAGGGAAATTGCTGATTCAATGGCTGGGGCAGGGATGGTACAAGATGAAACTGTTTTTTGTTTTTATTTTGTTTTTGTGCCAGAATGTAATGAAGAACCACCTTTGCCTCCAAAGTGACAAAGAGTGTGTGAGAGTCAATGGGGAGCCACTGAGGGACAGATGGATGCTATGCACCTTGAGATACCATCTCTAAGAAGGCCACAGCAGACGCATATAACATTCCAGAGTGGCTAAATCTAATCACAAGGAAACATCAGACAAACACAATAAAATAACTGGCCTTGCTTACCAAATATGTCTGTGTCATAAAGACAGACAGACTGGGAAACTGGTCCACAATAAAGGACATTAAAGAGACAGCTAACTGTGTGATTCAAGATTGGATCCTGGATTAGAAGAGAGAAATCCTCTCAGTGAATTATTGAGACAAGTGACGAAATTGACACATAGATCATGAATCAATAAAAGTCTTCATGAATGGTAAATTTCCTGAACTTAATCACTTTTCCATGATTATTAAAAGAACATCCTTGTTCACAGGAAACCTTTACTGAAGCAGTGATGGATACCTGGATATAACGGCTCTCACACATCTGGGGAAAAAGAGCATGTAAATACACAAAGCAGCCATCAAATTGGAAAATGCAGGTACCATTATTCTACGCCTCCACAGAGGGAGGATGTCTTTATGATATCACATCTATTAGCTATATTTCCAGACTTTCTGATCATAGGTAAAGAGAACAAAAAGGACACATGACAAATTATTAAAAACTGGTGGATCTAGGCAAGAGGCATATGGAAGTTTTCCTTATGCCTGCAAGGCAACATTTCTATAAGACTGAAGGTATTTCAAAATAAATAAGCCACATTTTTCAAAATGCTAGATAAAAATACATTTAAATGTTAATAGAGATTGCCTCTGGGTAACAGGATTATGGGTGATTTTACTCCTATATATTCTAAACTGCATTTAAAATGAAAAAATCAATATTAGATATTATATAGAGAGGTAATATTTTATTTTTTAAAAATATGCAAATTAAACCTCAGGCTGATATATTAAGTAACATAGTTAATAATCTCCTGAGGACCTGAGCTTTTCCACATTCTTTCCTGATCCTCCTTGGCTTTGGTCTCTCTTTTTTATTTTTTCTTAAGACAGGGTCTTATTATGTAATTCAGACTGTATTGCCCAGGCTGGCTTTGAACTCAGGGTGATCCTTTTGTGCGTCAGCCTCCGGAGTGCCAGGACCATGGCTCAACAGAGCCCGCTGTGGAATGAAGGAGTGCACTGAGGAGCAGCCAGAGGCCCACAGGCTTCCTGAAGCGGGAGGCAGGCGCTTTGGCCTAGCTTTGAGGGGAAGATAGGATTAGAAAAGGGTAACAAAGGGCTGGGGAGTCAGCTCAGCAGGCTTAAGAGCCTGCCTGGCAAGTGCAAGGTCCTGAGTTTGATCCCCAGTACAAAACAAAAAACAAAATAAAAAAACCCTACAGAGAAAAGGGTAACAGTTTGTTGGTTTGTGGCCCAAGAGGGCTGAGGATGACAGGAGTGGGAAAGGGAAAGGGAGCCCTCAGGGGGAATTCTAAAAGTTGCTCAGGCGGACACTTCCAGCCCGGACTTGCCCTGTGGGCTTGATCCTGTCCCAGCCCTGCCAGCCCTCCTGGGTTACTTTTCATCACTACTACTGGAGGTGCCCCACATAAAGCATTTTGCTCCTTGGACACCCACAAACCCCACTGAGTAGGGCTCCAATTGTTACAGGCAGCTAAGTTAGATCGAATATTGTAGGCAGTCAGACAGGGCCAGGCCCTCAAAGGAGCCACTGCAGAAGACATGATACCTTCCAAGTGTGGGGGAGACAGGCACCTCCCCTGTCAGCCAGACCTCAAGACAAAAGATGAAACAAACGCACACATACACTTCCTAAGGATACACATCAGGGACTGGTACTCTAAACAGGTATCATCACCTTGAGGAAGCTAGGAAGAGCACTAATCCAACCCCCTACAGGAAAAGCCCCCATTCTGTATGCATGCCATTCACTATGTGACCCACTTCCCTATTTGATCCCAATTTAATCAATTTTACCTGAGCAATTATACTTGTAATATTTACTGGCTGGTCACTGTTTTGTCCCAGCTCACGCCCACCTTGAGATTTCCCATTTTCCCATGTTGGGCCCACCTCACATTGTGCATTTGCTCTATAAAAATTCCTAGAAAAAGCAGAGTCCTTAGCAACCAACTCCATTCCCCTTCTGTCCCTCTCTCGGACAGAAGATTTTTCCCCCCAATAAATACATTTTGCTCTTAACTCCATTGCTCCTAAAATTCCTTCTTTAATTTTAGAGAGCACAAACTCAAACTGGACATCTAGCAGGTTAGGAGCTTCTTTCCCCTATATCAGGACCATCATGAAAAAGCCTTCCAGAAGCTCGGAGCCATCAAGAGCTATAAATGACTATAAACAAATGCTTAAAAACAATGTGATCAGTGCTCAAATGAGGCATCACATTTGAGCGCACTAGGGACACCTGGATTTCTTCCTAGAGTGAGTCACGGTGGCAGAGGAGCTGGAACCAGGAGGTGGCTGAGTTACCCAGAGGAAATGGTGATAAACAAGCCTGAAGACCTGAGAACAGCAATCAGAAACTGCACCAGGGCCGGGGAAATGGCTCAGTGGAATAAGTGCTTTCCTGGCAAGTACAAGGGCCTGAGTTCAATCTCTGGTTCTGCCAAACAAAAAATAAGGGGGGGAAAGAAAGAAAGAAAAGAAAAGAAAGAAACTGCACCAAACGCTTGGGGTGTCCTCATTCACTACTATACTAGCCAGCAAGACCTACTGTGTGTCTAGCACTGTGTGAGAGTTTGGGGAAGGAAGAAGAACACAAATCATGGATGATGCCTAGATCTCTAGCCAGCTTATTAACTGGAAGAAGGAAAGCAGGGAGCATACCCTTACGATGCAGAGGAACACATTACTGAATGTGTACATTGGAGATACATGTAACTTTTCAATAAACCCTTGGAAATACAGGTCTGAGATTCTTGGAAGAGGTTCTGAATTGGAATGCTAAACATATGATTTCGGCCTAGCCACTCAGCCCTCTGGGACTACCCTGTACTCTGACAGAATCTGATTCACTGAATTATTGTAACAAGGAGGACCACACAAGGAGGAGAACAATAGTGCAAGGGGTGAAGTGCCTCAACTAACAAAGGGAAAGTCTGAGCTAGTAAAGAACGCCTGGAAATGGGGAAACAAAACTGAACCGAGACAGTATATCAATCAGTCACTGTCAACACAGCAAGGTTATGCGTGTGGAAAGGCTCAAGCTAGGTCCAGACTGATAGGACTCAGGGTCTTGTGAAAACTATAAAATGAAAATGTGCATGGTGGTACATGCCTGTGACCCCAGCACTCAGGAGCCTGAAGCAGAACTGCCAGGACTGGAGGCCAGCCTGAACTACATAGTGAGGCGCTGTCTCAAAGAAAAAAAAAAAGATTAGTGGTATGGAATGTTGGCTCCAGAGACTTTATTTGAAGCTAGGCATTTGGTTGACTGTGAGGCAGAGTGGCTTACAGAGCTGTCAATCACGTTTCAGGTTTCATTCCTACAGACATGATTTAAACAGCAAAGTGCCTGC